TGAAGTCCTCTTTTGCGTGTTTTCATGATTGCCTCATGTCCTGAATCAACTGAAAATTTTATGGCAATTTCTGTCAAATAAAAAGATCATAGTGTGTCCTCATCCACCTCAGTTACCAGATCTGGCACCATGTGACTTCTAGTTCTTCCCCAAAGCCAAAATGTCCATGAAAGGCGTACATTTAAAATTGATTCAGGACATGGAGGCGGCCACAACAGCACAAGGAAACACACTCAGGAAAGAGGACTTCCAGAACTGCTTCAGAAAATGGCAAGAGTGATGGGAGCAGTGTTTGTGAAGCATGGAGGAGTATCTCGAGGGGGGTGGGTGGCAATGCACCTTTCACTGTAATAAGTGTTTAGTTTAAAGGTGCTGTATTTTTAACCAGACCTCATTTTATTCACCTTAGTGCACTCAGTTAACTCAATGCCTTGCATGTGGTAGATACAAAATACATGTTCAATGAACAAGGTGCTAAACACGCACAAAGACAGAGAACAAATACAGTGAACCTCAGTACTCATCAACATGAAGAGTATCAAAATGATGATTACCAAACAAATTGTTTGGCTGGGAAGTCTAGCCAGTCATGAGACAACTGACACCAACAGTCCTAACTCGCACACTGAATACTAAACAAAGATGAGCACTGGGACCAAAATCTTCACATTGAAATATATCAAGAACCAAATTCGACGAGTTTCAAAGCAGAGAACAGCCATTCAGTGAGCCATCAAATGGCACCACTCTTGTCTGACCACATCGTAATTCAACAGCTAAAACATAACCTGTATTATTTTCTTACCCAATCTGTAGCGCCTCCATCATTCACAAATAAGGTTTTTGCCTACTTATATACATTGTGCCATTTAATCAGTAATGCCACGAGATCAAGTCACTCAGCTGGAATTTGACAGAAACACGTCAGTGTGTCCTAAAGAGCACTAGATTCAGGAGTCAAATATCTGAGCACGTCCTTATTCTATGATTGAACTAGTGGTGTATCATTAGAAAGATCCCCTAACCAGTCTGCACTGCAGATCCCTCTCTCCTTCTCCTACTTGTCGTCCTCATGAAGGCAATTTGTTACTGTTCTGCAATTTCATCATTATTATCCAAGCTAGCACATGGAGGTGGTCCGTAACTCCAGAAGTTACACAGACTTTAGGGTCAGACAAGTCTGGTTTAAATAGTTGGGCAACACTGTGCAAGTTACTCAGCCTCTTTGCTCCAGTTTTCTTTTTTCTTATATAAAAGTGTTAATAATTTTCTCTTAGTTTATTGTAAATCTTAGATAGGGAGTATAAAACATAGCTACAGATATTTATGTCCAAATAAAATTGTTATTATTACTCTTTTCCAGTCAAGTTTAAGGATGGCACAAAACCTTGTCAAAAGGCTTTATATGCCACATCAATCAATGCAAACATATTTCATAGGTGTGCTTTTAAAAATTATTCCCAACTGCACATTGGCTTATTAAGGGCTGCAGAGCTGTGCTGTAGAAAGATGTTTGTGTTTATTCAGCCTATCGTTTTCTCCACTTATTTGAACACGGAACACACGCCAATGTTTTGTGGGATATCCAGCACAGTAAGAGCAGAACAAACCGCTGCTGTGACACATCCTTCTCACACGACTCAACAGGAGCAGCTCAAGAAACAAAACCCCAAATAGCAAAAACGCTCCCACCCTGCCCCCACTGGCTTATTCTTCGCAACATGCAAATTTTCTGGAAAACAACTATAAGAGTAAGGTTTACAAATTCTACAGGAAAAGACATTTAGATATAACTGATCGTGGGTATGAGTGCTAAAAGCTGTTCTCATTGGGCATCTGTGATTTCCATTGGTTGAACTGAATTCTAGGTAATTTCTGGAATCATATGAAAATAATAAAGAAAACTACTTTCTCATTCATTGCAGGCAGAGATCCATTAAAGCAATAATTGTTCTTTTCACGCGGCACCAAAAGTTCACTTCATTATTTCAAATGGCTCTTCCCAGCATCACCTCCTGTGACTTTAAAAGCTGCCATTAATTTCCCATTAGTAAACTTTAATTAAAATGAATATGTATCATTGCTTTTAGCAGTTGCATTTGTAATACTTGTATAAATACATGCAAATCTTACACACAATGTTTCCAACGGCTTTTTTCCAAACAAGCCAACATTTTGACGTTATTTCAAAGATTTTATCAACAGAAAGCTTTGAGAATGTAGCCCTTCCCTGAAATAACTCGAATTGCATGGAAATGTGGTGAGCAGTTACCAACCTAGCTAAAATCTATTTTATTGATCCCCGAAAGTAGCATGTTAAACCATGAATAATGACCTCTGAGCTTTGGACCATCAATGCCTTGTGGTTCTGCAGTATTTATATACAATATATTGAAAGGGAAAGCTAAAAGCAGGGGTGTGCTTGTAGTATCTTGAGGACTTATGGTGGCTTGTGTCTACCATGTCTAGTACAAGATGAGATGAGTCACATTTTACTAGTTTATTATTAAAAATACATTTGCTTCCCCCCAAATTCCATTCAAACGTTCAACACTCAGAGAAATAGAAACATATTACAGTGCAACTGAGTGTAAAAACTCCACAGGTTTCTTTATCCTGTATGATTTCCCACTGGGTCGAAGTGTTTGTTTAAATGTGCTTTATCAGAGAAAATGAGCTTGATTAGTCTTACATAAAGTTTTCACCAGGTTACACTTGCATCTCCCAATATCCTAAACCAGAATCTAAAAATACTTTGATGAGACGACAATTCACACTTCCTTACTAAATACATCTTCCTGAAAACGTTTTTAAAAATCTGATAATATTTCTGATCCTTTGTTCTCAAAATAAACTTCAAAACCTCTAGGGAAAACACTATAGAAATGCTTAACCAAAAAGGTGCCATGTGCTTCTCCCAGGGGTAGGTGGGGTTGTGCGTCTGTATGACAGACTCTGGTTTGCTTCCTTCATTCAGTCCTACCTCCCATCCCTTCTCCCTATTGACAGCTTTTCTGTGAGACCTATTGACCCAGTGACCAGAGCCTCACTGTGACGTTTTTAGGCTCTTATCTTTTCTTAACCATTTCTCACTTTCGGCAAATTATTTCCTGAGAAAATTAAGCATCATTTACAGTGAGGAAAAGGTCTAGTACACACAGTTTTAACAACTTCTTCAATTCACTGACTTTGATATCAATTTTTCACATGCATTGTTTTTTGATTAATAGAACTGAGATACATTTGCATGGATTATATCATCTATCTAGAAACTTTGAAGGTGATTAAAAAAGAGTAACATCCAAATCTTGCATAAAGTTGGAAAAAGTTAATAAATGGAGTGGTGTGCTTCATTTACCAAATTATTAGATTAAAAATACTAATGATTTGCGTCCTAGCCACTGAATGCTTTCAGCATTTAAATAAACATTTAAAGACATCTAAGACATATAATGATGAAGAACATTCTAGTTCTTCATCGCACTTGAAGAAGAGCAGTAAGCTTTCAGCTTTCCCGATGGTCATGGATGGAAAACAGAGCTATCAGCCAAGTGACATTTCAGTCCCCTGGAACCCGAAACATGGAGGTTTCCAACACTAATTTGTCTGACTGCATATCATGTACCATTCTAGAAAGGATCAGCTTTAAAACAAAAAGTTTCATAATCTGCAAAGTCAGTTATTAACAATGTCTATTCAGCCACATACAAAGCATGGGTCCCAGGAAAGGTGGCGAATCATCCCACTTGCTCTTCTCAGAGAAAATACTACTGTTCAGCATAAAGTGAAAGAAGTTTGTGGTTCTAGTCCACAAATGCTCTGAGCTGTTTTCCGTGTTGGATACCTCCACATAGGCGATGAGGCATAACGTCATTTATCACAAAACAACTGCAAATAAAAATTTAAAAAGAACACTGGTATAGCAGAGTGCAGTCCTATACTGATGCACTTTTTAAGAAGTTTTCCACATTTTACTTATTCTGTGTATTTACTAAGTCATCTTAAATCCAAAAAAATCTGTTAGTATCTATATACTACCACACGTACAATTTTTGTAAATGTAAAGCACTGCTTTCAAAATCATCTAAGACATATAAAAGTCAGAACATATTCCTGAACACATTATTCTGTTACATTCCTAAGTCTCTGTCATGAGTGCTCTAGTTACGGTTTCCCTCTGCCCAACAAGTGTAACCCCGTATTCCAGGTGGTAGATGCAAGTGATATCTTTGTAAAAGCTGAGAAGACTTGGAAAAGGGGTGGCACGTTGTACAAACTTTAATTGTACTTGGCATCTTCATTGGCTGCTTTGCTACTTGTCATCTGGTCTACCAAGAGTCCTCAGTGGGGAGAAAGTAGATGTGGAGGTACTGCAGGATGATCAGAAGATGCACCATACAAGTAAGTCTGAGTCCCCTCAAGCGTACCTGTTCATGACTAGATATGTATACACGAATAACATATATCCCTACGCGTATATATAACAAATCGAGTTCCTAATAAGTGCTTTACTTCTCTAGCTGTGATCATTAAAACGTGAGTACTTTTCAACACAGACAATTCGCATCTAATTATAATCATTAATTTTTCCCAGGAAACAAAAGAAAGCACCAAAATTAAAAAGTGCACTTCGTATCCAACATATTAGAAAGGATTTTTAGAAAGTGTGACGTGAACCCTCTCCTACTCGCTGAAACTGTATCACTAAGAACGGGATCCGGCTTGTAGTATACAACGGGAGAAGCTGGTGAGGCAAATAGGAAGACCGAAGGAGTAAGGCGAGGGAAACCACTTCTCCGTTCCCTGTAACCCTAAAAGAGACCCCCCAAAACACTTTTTCTAAATACAAGCCCCAGTTTCATAAAATACCAAACCAACTGCGAAAAGCGTGACTAGGGCTACTACTACAGCAAGCCTAAAGGACTGTCGTGCAAAAGCAAAGCGGTGGGAATGTGGCGGCAGCAGCAAATCCCCCTCGTCCCCCACCCCTGATACGGTACCTCCAGATCTGCCCGAGCTGCAAGATGTGGACGAGCGACTGCAGGAGCCAGACGCAGAAGGAGCAGGACGCAGACCTGCGTCTGCCGCCGGCCCGGGCGGCCTCGCTGCTGTTGCCGCCGCTGCTGGCGGCCGCGATGTTGCTCTTGCTGGCGCTGGATGCTTGCCTCTGCGGCGTGGAGGGGCGAGCCTCGCCTTCCCCGGCTGCGGCCCCTCCGCCGGCCACCGTCTTGCAGTCGGCTCCGGGCGGCGGGCAGCTGGAGGCGGTGGCCGCGGCCGCGGCGCTGTCCTCGGTGCTGAAATCGTGCGCGAACCAGCGGAAGCTGAACACTTGCACGGAGAGCGAGCCCAGCACCACGAAGAACAGCGTGAGCCCGAACCACCAGCGCTGGCCGCGCAGGTAGTAGTCCACGGCGAGCCAGATGTCCGTGCCCACGTCCGCGAAGTACACGGCCACGGCGGCCAGGATCCAGAGGCAGTCCCACAGCGAGTAGCGCCGCTGCTCC